AAGGAACCTATATGGAGCACTGCTAAACAATTCAGCCTCCGCAAAGGGAAGATCTTTAGCTATATCTTATACCTCCCATGGAAAGCCAGAGTACTGCTGTCAGGAAGCTTGATGAATACAGTGCATAACTACTGCCAGAGACATGAGGCATTTTGCTGTGTTGAGGCTTGAAGAGATGTTTTGGCATCTTCTCTTCGATTTTTCCTCACTAACCTTCTGTAAGGGCCTTCAGTTGTTCCCTGTGATCCTGAGGAAGGTGTACAATAAAAGATGCAAACTTGGAAAAATACCTGAAATCATACTTTGCCATCAGGGCTTGTAACTGGCTTTTCTGAACTGCAGAAAGGACAAGGAATAGCTCTTATGAACCAAAGGTTCTAGCTCTATCTGATGGATTTGAACAGAACCAATGTTGTCTGTTCTATTCATTAACTGCCTCAACCACTAAAAGTGTTACTCCTACGATGGAAGAAAAAATACTTCAAGCCTCAGAGCCTGATATTGTACTTCTTATCAACCCACTTGCTTATAAGTGGTACAATGGGTGAGATTGACCACACTGTGCATACTGGGTATAGATAGCAATCTTACCCTGAGGAGATATATAAAGGATGTCCAGAAGGGAACACTGAAATCTGTAATGTATGTGTCACACATTTTATAGGGTCCTTGAAATCATTCAAGTGAAATAGTGAAGGAGGCATGACTACCTGATGAGGAAGAGGACCTGTGTGAAATGATATTTCTTCTTCTTATAGGTGATGAATGTTCCTGATGAGCAAGACTCAAGGGCGTTTGCCATTGTATTCTGACACATCCTCTTTTGATGTGGGATCCTGTAGAACTGGATATCCAGAGGATATCCGGAGTACAGCTGCAGACCCATAAACACTTCTGATGAAAATCTCCAATCAAGTGCTTATGGGCTCACGCACATACTGATGTGGGCCACCCACAAGGACACTATTTGAAGAATAACTATCCAAATTAAACCAGTGCACAACCTAGCCAAAGATGTTGGATTTGCTGGAGAAAGGAAAAACCCTGGGGGAAGGACAAGAAAAAGTAAAGATGTCAGAATAAGTTACTAAAAGGAACTCTCCCTCCAGCAAGGGGAACAGATCAGATCCAGAAGACAAGACTGGGCAGGAGAAGAGGAAGTGCAGAAGAAGTCTGGATTCCCAGAAAGAGACTAAGGGTACGTCTAGACTACATGCCTCTATCGCCAGAGGCATGTAGATTAGGCTACCAGACATAGGAAAATGAAGTGGCGATTTAAATAATCGCCGCTTCATTTAAATTTACATGGCTGCCGCGCTGAGCCGACAAACAGCTGATCAGCTGTTTGTCGGCTCAGCGCGGCAGCCATGTAAATTTAAATGAAGCGGCGATTATTTAAATCGCCACTTCATTTTCCTATGTCTGGTAGCCTAATCTACATGCCTCTGGCGACAGAGGCATGTAGTCTAGACGTACCCTAAGACAAAAAGGACTATCAGGTGAAGGGAAGAGTGAGGTTGTTTTTCCATAGATTAGGATAGCTACCGTGCTTCATCTAGGAGTTAAAGTGTATGCATAGTTTAGAAGTGCCTTTGCAAAGTCTGCGTGTTACTTGCTGCAACTGTTATGAAGTCCCCAAAAGGGCAACAAAATAATTCACAGTACACACTGAGTGGAACCCTGAAGAGGGAATAGGGCAGCTGTGAAGAGACTGGGGGAGCAGTTGGGGAATGGGCTCCCACTTCCCTATGAATCAGAGTTGGAGTCTGTACCTCAATGGCTAAATATACAGTATTATTACCTTAAAACCGTGAGAGTCAAAGTTTTGGGTACAACAGTCAGATGATCATCCACAAAGGGAGAGCAGTGAAGGCAGTAACATTTGCCCTTTATTGAATATAACCAATATAGCAATGTCTGCCTGGGTCTCAAGAAAGCCTGAAACACCTCAGAGGTGTCAACTACCACATCTGCCTCTGCAAGATTTTAAACCAAAGATCAATTACTTTGAAATAGGGATGTGAATGTGTACCCATGTATATGGTTAACTGATAAGCCTGAGTTCATCAGTTAACCCTCATGCAACCCCTCCCCCCTGCACTGCTGCCTCTGATACAGGGGGCCTAGTACCAATGTGCCTGGGGAACCATGCTTTTAAGACAGTTCCCCATTTGTGTGGGCTCCCATGGAGCTGCCTGCCCCACCCCCTACACAGCTGCCTCACACATAGGCTGGGGGGGAGGGAGGGAAATCGAAGGTGAGAGCAGGTGCTCACGGGGAACCAACTTAAAAACCAGATACAGTCATAATTCAAAATGATCTGGACAAACTGAGGAAGTGGCACTGCCACCTAGGGCTGTGAGCTTGTCAGAACACATAACCCAAGCAATCTGGGTTGACTAGTTGGTGCTAGGAATTAATCAAAGATAATTCATTAGCCTCCCCTCTCAGAATAAAACAGTGACCCAGAATATATGCAAGCCTATGATATGAGATGAAATGCCAATCTGAGATCCTGGCAATTTACCACCAATAAGCATCCCTTTAACAATTTTTATAATAGTTGGTGCTAATTCCAGGTTCCCAACAAAGTTTCAGAGCAGATTGCTAAACATACATGGTTTATTCCCCAATATTTTCAGCTGGACAATTTTCTTGCACTACACTTCTTTGTTAATGTTGCAGGCACACATGCTCCAGAGCTGGCTAAAATGACATTCTCTTTTTAAAAGGAATTATTGTTAGTATCAGTATTATGTTTATAGAAGTCAGGTTTTATCCATTTCAAACAGTGATAAATTGAAGTACATTAATTTGCTTATTTGTCTTCTGATCAATATGAACAAAATACTTTCAAGAGTTTAAGGAAAATACTATTGTAAGCACATTACTATTAAAATTGCAAAGTCAGAGTATAATAATTTTATAAAATTGTGGGCATGATTGATTTTTTAATGGACCATTCACTTGTTCTCTGACCCCTAAGGATTTTTTGTTCCAAGCCTCTTATACATAGTAAATTCATTAAATTCAACCTAGCTCCCAAAAGTATTGCATCATTAAAGGTAGAGCTTCAAACACTAAACAAAACTGAGTGAGAGTGTAAAATACAATGAAAGTGAAAAAAGGAGTCATTATGAACTAGCATCATTTTACTGTCTCTCCCAGCAGTATTTCTAGTCTTCTGGTTAATTTTCATGGGCAATAATTTATTATGTATCTAGTATAGTTACATTAAAAAAAAAAACCAAAACTGCAATCTGATTTCAACAATTCAAAACCACCAAGTCACCCACAGAACTTGTGTTATCCCATTGTACATATGACACAAGAAGGAGGAAGCCAACAATTGGAATGAGAATGTGAGGACAAAGGGTCTGGGTCACAATAAGAAGATCGTGCCATTACCAGGCTTTGCCATGTGCACATATTGATGATTCAAATGAATATATACATTATTTTATGACACTGAAGGAGTGAGTTTTTTTGGAGAGATTTCAAGAAGGTGAGAGTAGTGTGGTGAATGGGGTTTGGGAGGTTGTTCCATACATAGGAGGCTATACAGCAGGACTCAGAATGACTTTTACAATCAGTCTTATATCATACACATTCTATAATCTTATGTATAGTATCAAGAACAATAATTTAGTGCACCATGCAGAGATTCCAACATTCAGCTGTGATGATGTTACACATGCACACACACTGTGTTACATATTTGCTCCAGTTTTAAAACTTCCCTTTACAGTTTGACCTGGGAAAGCAATTACTTTAAAAGAATGTCTTAACAAAACAGAAAGTTGTTCACTGCTCCTATTTTTTGTTCGATCTGTAATGGTTTGACCTCTCTACTAGCAAAAGGGAAACTCAATTAAGCTCTGTTAAAGATTAATCCCATGTATATTTTTGGGAGCCAAACATCAAATATAGAACTCACAGATTTGTATATTTTAAGGCCAGAAGGAACCTTTATGATCATCTAATCACACCTGCATTACACAAGTCACAAAATTTCACACAGTGATTTCTGCGTCAAGCCCACAACTTCTAGTTGACATACAGAATTTCTTTTAGAAAGACATGCAGACTTCCATCCCAACTCTAGGCAAAATGATCCAGTGGTTAATAAAGCCTCACTAAAAATTAGTACCTTATTTCTAGTTTTAATTTGTCTAACTTCAGCTAGCAGCTCTTCTAGATTGTTATGCTTTTGTTTCCTAGATTCAACAGCCACCTACTCTCAGAAATCTTGTCCCCATCTGGGTACTTTTAGATCGTGATAGAGTAACTTCCTAATCTTCTTAGATTTACCCCTAAATGAAGATTAAGCCTGGGCCTGAAAGAGACAGGGTGAAATTTAGAGTCTAAATATTAGCTTGCTTAAAACAATGAGCAGCATATGACACACACAGCATAAAGGCTTCCAATGTTAAGGGAAGGGAGAAGAAGGCAAAAATAGAGGTATTCATCACTCAGTTTTACAATTAATAGTTTAATTTACATATTACTCTATAACAACACAGACAAAATTGCAGTGACAAATATATTTGCAATGATAAAGTTTTAAATTCTGTTGCTGATCACCATAAAAAATATCTAACAATAAACTAAGTATGCATGGGAAAGATACAAAATTATTTCAATTTTATATAAATATTTGTTTTCTGAGAAACCTGTAAAATTGATTATAGAATCAGTTTTGAGAAAAAAACTGAAGTTACTCTTTCATCTGCCCCAATAAAGAAATAATTATACAGCTACTGCTGGCTGCATAAAAGATACTGAACAGAGTAAAAAAACTGTCACTGTTCATGTCCCAAATAAATCCAGTTTATCTGTGTTTCTTTCTATTATATTAAGTATATAAACACATTGGCACTTAGGTAATTTAATCAATGAAAACCAAACTTCAGTTGCATGTAAATTCTTGAGTTTAAAAACAACACAAAAACAGAACAAAAACTCTCTCTACTAGTGTTTAAGCAAATACTGAAGTCTACCTCTCCTGTTCTTGCTTCATTCGTATTCTCTCCTCTTCTGAAGTAAGGGCTTCCTGAACTTTTATTTTACCAGATTTCTCAATCTTGTCATCTTTGCGATGTTTGCCAAACCTGTTAATAACAAAACATTCTAACTTGTCAAATGAACACACATGTATTCCTCTTTTCCTAGGACAATGTTGTGCTAATTATAGGAGGAGTTTTTTGAAAACCAAGAGGGGAGACTGCCAAGACTTCTGAACCTCCATTTTAAATATTTTTCTCTTTGTTTTCTTGAGAATTTATAAATGGGAGGTTTATTTTTTTTTAACAGTGTATGTTTTTTTCCCCCTAACATTTCTGGATCACTAACTTTAAATCCAAAGTCAACCAATTTTTTTAAATTACTCAACACTGCAACTTCCAGAGAATGTAAATCAGAATTGACATTAGTCTAGGCCCTTGTTTTATGAAATGCAAAGCACAATTCATGATCATCTGTATAATAATTACTTGCTAAGCAATATCAACTCACTTCACTCTAAAGCAGCAGTTGCATTTGCTATAGTGGATAGTATTCAAACAGGTGGATTTTGCCTTTAAAGCCCTGTATGGTTTGCAATAGGAATGTTAATGTGTAGACCACTACACAATTAACCGTTAAGCCTTGGCTTATTGATTAATCTTATTGACTACACGCACTCACCTCTCCCCCCTTGCTGCTTCTGTATTGTGGGCAGCAAGGTGCGGGGAGCGGAAGCCCATGCCCGTGAGGAGCTGGCTTTAAGCAGATCCTCCACTCCCCCTGCACTGCACTCTCTGATAGAGATGCAGAAGCACAGAGGGTGAGGGGGAGCAGACTGAAGCTGATATGAGTCGGCAGCTGGCTTTTGGCTCTCTGCGTGTACTAGCTTCACAGATCACCTGCCCCCCTTGCTTCTTCCTACAGAGGTGGGGTAGGAGAGAGGAAGGAGCCAGTGCTTGGGGGAGGCAGCTTAAAAACTAGTTCCCCCCAGCACTAGCACCACGGTGCTGTTCTCCCCTTCCCCATGCTGCTGCCTTTATCAGAGACAGCAGCGTGGGGTGGGGGAATGAGGGATGCGTGTACTAGCTTCACAGATCACCTGCCCCCCTTGCTTCTTCCTACAGAGGTGGGGTAGGAGAGAGGAAGGAGCCAGTGCTTGGGGGAGGCAGCTTAAAAACTAGTTCCCCCCAGCACTAGCACCACGGTGCTGTTCTCCCCTTCCCCATGCTGCTGCCTTTATCAGAGACAGCAGCGTGGGGTGGGGGAATGAGGGAGGCTGACA